GGGGAACTATATGGGTAGAGGGAGGTACTCTAGGGGTAGATGAGGAGCAGGGGCATTATAGGGGTAGATGGGGAACAGGGGCATAATAGGGGTAGATAGGGGGAGCATGGGCACTTTAGGGTAGATGGGGGCACTTTAGGGTAGATGGGGGCACTAAAGGTTAGATGGGGACACTATAGGGGTAGAGGGGGGCACTACAGGGATAGAAGGGCACTATAGGGTAGATGGGGGGCACTATAGGAGTAGAGGAGGGACACTATAGGAGTAGATGGTCTCACTTACCTGGCAGCAGATTCGGGCCTCGCCCCCGCCAGCTGCTTAGCTCCGCCCCGCCGACAGCTTAGCTCCGCCCCCACCTGCTGCTTAGCTACGCCTCCTAGTCTCTCTCTGCTAGATGATAGCTCGCACACCCCAAAGGCCGGCCCTGATCGAAACAATGCCACTTTGAATGCGTGCCGTAATTAAAGCTAAAGTCAGTCCAACTAAATATTAGCGTGTGCGACATTTTTTTTTTGGTGGCAACCTTTTTTTTGGCCACATAGTGTATTAAATACATGAGTATTTAAAAACATCATCATGTTTTATTAGATAAACCTAAGTTATACATATTGTCAGGATCCTATCCTGGAATCTATTTACCTGTCTCAACTATTGCAACTTTGCATAATCCTTTAAGCAACCTGTACTATATTGTACTGAAAGTACTTAACAGCTTGAAATGATTAAAGCTGTTAAGTACTTTCAGTACAATATAGTACAGGTTGCTTAACCCCTTAAGGACCAAACTTCTGGAAAAAATGGAATCATGACATGTCACACAGGTTGTGTCCTTAAGGGGTTAAAGGATTATGCAGAGTTACAATAGTTGAGACAGGTAAATAGAGTCCAGTATAATATAATTCTCTTAGCTTTTATGGGGTCTTTCTTTTACTATTAGAGATTTCCTACGTGTCTGTTTCTATCCCTTCTCCATCCATTTTTTCCACTCCTCAGGGTCAGTGTATTCTGCCCACTACTTATAATATAATACAGGTTGCATACAGGATCATGCAGTGTTGCAGCAGTTGAAACAGGTAAGTAGATTCCAGTATAATGTAATACAGGTTGCTTACAGGATCATGCAGTATTGCATCAGTTGAAACAGGTAAGTAGATCCCAGTAATGTAATACAGGTTGCTTACAGGATCATGCAGTGTTGCAGCAGTTGAATATAGGAGTTTCAGGAGGATTCCGGCGACTGGACACACTAGAGGATCAATAGAGGATCAGGATGTTTTCAGGAGTCAGGACCAGAAGTTCCATGTCAGAACACTGACTTCAATGTAAAGGCCCTGAGAAGAGTTTGGTGTGGCCTTTTATAGTAGACTTGGAAGATCATTTGAGGCAGGTGAGAGAAACTGAGGATTGACTAGTGGTTAGGGAGGCCACTAGAGGAGAGAAACAGGTATTGCAGCAATAAAATAAAAACAATACCTTGCTTGTAAGGATAGGATCCTGACATAATCCCCTTCTTCAAAAGCGGACTCTGGACGCGATGTTTGGAAAAGTAGAGGGACGAAACCCTTAGGAGGAGAAATCATTTTAGCATCTGCAAACTTCAGAGGGACAAAACCCATAAATTGGGGGGAAAAAAGGAGACATTTTGGGAAAAGTAGAGGGACAAACCCCTTAGGAGGAGAAATCCTTTTTCTTTTTCTCAGGTTTTTCACAGGTGATATACAGGAGCTTGAGTGCAACAAACAAAAAATAGATTTGCAGAGTTCTAAGAGGCTTTCAGCAATGATTGTTAAAACGCTGGTTAACCCTGTAGTCTCCGGGTTAAGGCCTTTACATTCTGTCATGTTCCTGAGCAGTATCCTGTTTGTGGCATATTGCCTTAATTCTTTCTTACAAGTAAATTGTTATGTCTAAAAAGACAAAGTTTCAACCAATAACCCTGGCAATTGTCTCCTCTCTGACTTGCTCAGGAACATGACACATATAATATATTTAACAAGGTATATACCTCTATATTTATTAACTGAATCTTTACCTAATTTTGGTGCTATACCTAAGGAGGAAGAATAAATACATTAGTATTTGGAAGGGAGAGAAATACTACAAAAGAGGAGACATGGCTAATAAATATATATCTATAACTCTTTTGGTATGTACTTTACAAGTAACGCCAAGCCTCCATAGCAAGCCAGTAACCAACCTCATGGTGATGAGTTGCATTAACGAAACAGCTGTCCATGAGTGGTTCACTGGCTTTGATCCTCTTCCTGAGTTGTGTTTCAAAGCTGTTATATACAGCAGACACATACTCCAAGGAATCCATGTATAAAGTGGAATTATGAAGCGAAAATGTGGTTCTTTGTTGAGCTCATTTGCATATGCCTACCCAGAATCCATTGCAGTACTGAGAGCACTGTTAAAATGAGATTTCTGTGGGAAAAGCAAGTCTTGTGGCTTGATTGGTGTGCGTATTTGTGTTTAACAATGTATTAACTATCCACTTCAGGTGGAAGGGGTTTTCATCCATACTTTTTGGTATGAGATATATATATCTCAAAATGAATCATAACTATATTAAAAATAGATGAAGAATGGAGAATTACATTCAGAGGGTTAAGAGTCAGAGTGCAAGGGGTGGAACGAGATGACGTAGGACACATGGCTACGTCCTCGTGGAACGCAGCTGAGGGATCGACTGAGGGAGCCTAATGGGTGAATGGACTTGTCCTGAACAGAGCAGTGGCGATATCCAGGACACACTCTTGGAACATTGTGAAAAGAGGACCGGGTGCCGCCGGATGGTTCAGGAGACAGCTGGCAGAATGGTTAATACGGTGGGAGCACAGCATGTAAGAGTGCTACTAGCACAAATACCGGCAACAACAAGATAAGTGACAATAGAAGGCTATTTGCCTCCATATACAGCTGAACCACACTGCAGGGGTTAACAGAAATAATACTTATGGTCAGTGTATAGAAGAGGGGATAGCATAAAGCTAATGGACCATTTAAAGAATGCTGGAAGCAAAAGCAAAAAGAGAGAAGCACACAGAGGGCAATAATTTAACTTAAAAAATATTTTACTTACATTTAACTCTCCCCTAGAGGAGATCACTAATTGGTTTGGAATAAGCGTGTCTGCCTTAGTGCCTGAAGTGTGTGCTGGGTGTGGAACCTCCTTAGTTAAACTACCACAATAAAAACAAAATATAAAGGTGTATCACTACATCGGGACAGAGAGGTGAGGGTGCAAAAGAGAACTATTTAGGTTGGAAAAACATAAGAAATAAAAGATTAAAATAAAAGGAAAGGAAGCAATATCCTATAGATTATATTAACTATAGGAAAAGAATAATCAAACCAGACGATAAATACATTAAAATAAAATGGCTACAAAAAAGATGCAAAACGGCAAGCATCTAAAAAAAGACAAAAAGACGGACAATAAAACAGAAAAGTGTCTTTCTTTTTTTTCACCAAATCCAACAATTAATAAAACAAACCTGGAGCACTTGATTCTCTATAATATCCCTCTATAAGAAAGTATCAACAAAGTACAAAGGGAGGAAACACAAGAATTAAGTCAAAGAGAAGTAAGAAGTGAATATGAAGATTTACTCAGACACCTAGACACACAATTCGGGAAACTGAGAGAAGAAATTCAAGCGAACACTATAGACATCAAGAAAGATTTGCTGACTCTTAACCAAAGATTCTTAGGAATAGAAGAAAAATTAAACGGATTAGAACACAAGGAAAACATCCACAAAGAAGAACATCTGGCACTAGAGAAAAAGGTGGCAGACATGGAGGATAAACTGATAGACATGTGCAATTCGTTTAGTTCCAAATGCAAATTCAACCAAATTTCGGAAAAGTGCCAAATTTCTGAAGTACCAAATTTCCAAAGTGCCGAAGTGCCGAATTTAGGAATGCCGAACCAAAGATTTGCTGACTCTTAACCAAAGATTCTTAGGAATAGAAGAAAAATTAAACGGATTAGAACACAAGGAAAACATCCACAAAGAAGAACATCTGGCACTAGAGAAAAAGGTGGCAGACATGGAGGATAAACTGATAGACATGTGCAATTCGTTTAGTTCCAAATGCAAATTCAACCAAATTTCGGAAAAGTGCCAAATTTCTGAAGTACCAAATTTCCAAAGTGCCGAAGTGCCGAATTTAGGAATGCCGAACCAAATAGCCGAACCAAATTGTCGAAGTGCTTTGGATTTCTGAAAAGTGGCAAAACAGGTGAGGCTTAGGGTTAGGGGTTGGGGTAGGGTTACGGTTAGGTAAGGGGTTGTGGTAGGGTTAGGGGTTGGGGTATGGTTAGTGGTTGGAGAAGGGTTGGGGGAACCCTAACACTATTCCTTACCCTGCCCCTAACCCTACCCTTACCCTAAACGTACTCCTAACCCTACCCTAACCTTACCCCTAACCCTACCATAACCCTACTCCTAGCCCAACCCTAACATAACCCTACCCTATCCCTTCCCTAACCCTACCATAACCCTACCCTAACCACACCCTAACCTTACCTCTAACCCTACTCCTAAACCAACCCTAACCTTACCCCCAATCCTACCCCTAACCCTACCCTAATCCTACCTCTATCGCTAAACCTACCCCATACCCTATGCCTAACCCTACCCCTGACCTACCCGTAATGTTAACCCTACCCCTAAACCAACCCTAACAATTCCCTAACCCTACACTTACCCCAAATCCCAGAGTTCTGAAGTACTGAAGTGCCGAAGTTCCGAAGTGTCAAAATGCAGAAGTGCCAAAGGTCCAAAGTGACAAATTTCGGAATGCTGAACTGAACCGAATATTTTTTCCATGCACATCCCTATAAACTGATAGAACTAAAAGACCGGTCAAGACGGAA